TCCTTCCTGTCCCACATCCATCCATTTCCATCCATCCTTCCATCCATCCTTCCTCCCCCATCCACACCCACCATCTCCATCCATCCTTCCTATCCCACCTCCTCCATCTCCATCCATCCTCCATCCATCCACGCCCACCACCTCCATCCATCCTTCCTCTCCCATCTCCACCCACTTCATCCATCCTTCCTGTCCCACATCCATCTATCCATCCATCCATCCATCCATCCATCCATCCATCTTCTCCCACCCCCCCACCCTGCCCCGTTACCTCTAATGCTGTCAGCCCTCTGCACCCTCCTCAGAGCCTCGCGGGCCTCGTCCTCCTGGGTCCCGGCAGCGGTGACGATGGTGACGGGCAGCCCCCGAGCCCGGAGGTCCTGGGCCAAACCCTGGGCCACCTCGCGCCAAAGGTCCTGTGGGGCGGAGAGGACGGCCACGTGGGCCCAACGGAAAAAGCGGAGGACGGCGTGGAGCACCCCGGCGGGTTCCGGCATGGGGATGACCAAGGTGTCCAACCCATCGACGTCACCCAAGCAAGCCCAGGAGACCAAGGGCTTGTTCCAGGCGGTCGCCAGGAGCCCGGCAGCCCCACAAGTGGCCGGATTGAGGGGTCCCACCAGACCGGTGGCGTAACGCTCGGCATTGAGCAGCCCCGTCACAGCCTGGGGGGTCTGGCACGCCTCGGCCAACACCACCGCGTCCCACCAGTAGCCTTTGTTGAAGGTTGGGTCACGGTTAAGACGGGCCACAGCCAAGCGAGAGGCCACCTCGGGCAAAGCCCGGGCCAGGAGGGGGTCACAGGTCCAAGGACCCATCACCCCCACCTTGAAGGTGGCCCCCTGCGTTGGGGGTGGGTGGAGGAGGAGGAGGAGGAGGAGGAGGAGGAGGTGGGGAGGCCACCGAGGGTGGTGGGAGAGGCGGAGGAGGAAGCTGGTGGAGATGGCACCGCGGCGGGAGGGGACGGTTTGGGAGGTGCCACCACTGTGGGAGGTGCCATTGTGGGAGATGCCACTGGTTTGGGTGACACCGCGCCTGTGGGACACGCCGCCACCGTGGGAGATGCCACCACCACCGTGGGAGTTGCCACCATGGCAGATGCCACTGTGAGAGTTGCCATCATGGGACACACTGCTGGTTTGGGTGACAACATGGCTGTGGGAGATGCCACCACTGTGGGAGATGCCACCACCATGGGAGATGTCACCGCCGTGGAAGATGTCACTTTTCTGGGAGATGCCACCACCATGGGAGATGCCACCACCATGGAAGATGTCACTTTTCTGGGAGATGACACCACCATGGGATGTGCCAGTGTGGTAGATGCTACCAGCTTGGGAGATGGCGTTAAGGGAGGTGCTACCACCAGGAGAGATGCTGTCATGGGAGGTGCCACAACTGTGGGAGATGCCACAATGATGGGAGATGTCATCGTGGGAAATGCCATGACTGTGGGACACGCCGTCGCTGTGGGAG